CGGCCCCCCCCCCGCCCTCCCCTCCGCTCGTCCCTAACGTCGGTTTGTGAGGGTTGGTTTTGTGGATGTTTTCGACTTACTGGTTACGCTTTCATTGGCGTCAGTATTTTGGCCAGTCACACTGGTGGGGGGCTTTGCAGCTCTGCCTCTGGGGCGGGCAGATGGAGAGCAGAGGGCTCGCTGGTCCTGGGGGACCCCGGGGCTCCCCTTCGTCCTCGGCCTCCGTCGCTGCCGGCCGGGTGCGGGGCGGCCCGGGCGCCGTCCCCCTTCCTCACCGGGGGTGCGGGGTGCCGGGGAGGGGGTTGGACAGAGGGTTGAGGGCCGGCTGCCCCCCGGGTCCCAGGCCGTGGATGAGCACGCGGGGCACGAGCGGCCGCTGCAGCTGCGGGTGCGGGGCCGGCGGAGTCCGGTACATGCTGCTGTACATGGCCGCGGCCGCCGCCGCCGCCGCGGAGCTGTCCATGCCGCCCAGCAGGCTCGGGTGGTAGAAATAGGGCGACGGGAACATCCTCTGCAGCGCGGAGTAGTTCCCGGCCTCGGCCAGCAGCTCCAGGCCCACCGCGGTCTGCCGCTTCCACTTGGTTCTGCAAGAGAGCGGGCGGGCGCGGGTGGGCGCGGGCGGGCGGGCGGGCGCGGGAGGACGGCCCGGGAGCCCCGAAGGCGCGTCTCCGGCCCCGCCTCGCCCAGGCGCTCTCCGGAGGGCCCAGACCCAAAACCTGCTTCTTCAAACTACCCGGGCCTCTCTCCTCTGCTCGGGTGCCCGCCCCACGGTTTAAATACGTCCTGCAACTTTCCGGAGGCCGAAGGAGTCCCCACCACTCCACCGGCTGTCTTCCCTTGGCCCCCCAAGTCTCCCCCAGCGTGCTCTGACCAGCAATCTGAACTGTTGGCTCTCCGCCCCTCCCCCACCCCATCGCACCCAAGGAAACCCAAACCGGAGACAAAGGGCGGCTGAGACCCGAGGTTTGGACTCCGCAAGGCTGTGGGGACAATTCTTCCTCGTGTCTGAGCGAGCACCTCAGGCTTAGGGCAGCAGGGCGACGAGGTTTAAAAAATGGAGTTCGTTTTGAGAGTGAGCTCTCCCCAGGGAAAGTACCCCCTGACCATGCTAGATGGGAGGACTCGCTCTCAAGATATCTCCTCCTTAAAGAGAAAGGAGTGCTTGAAACCTGTGGTGCCTTTCTCTGGGCGTCCTCTCCCCCTGCTGCTGCACTCAAATGCCCTGGGAAGGAAGGCCAGCCTGGTGGGGCATCCGCACCCAGCAGCTCCAGCCAAATTAATAAACACGTCGCCGGTTTTAAATTGGCTACAAATGACACTAATGTTTTCCGACAGAATTAGGGTGGCTGAAGCCCTATGTAATGAGACAGAAAATTATGGTAAGATGACGATTGGACGGGCTTTTCCAACCCCACTTACGAACGATTAGAACCCAAACACAGAGGGGGCAGAGAACTGTGCCGAGGGAGCCAGGGCCAGGTGTGCAAACAGGACACAACCTCCTCCACTCCTATTGCCCAAGTTTGGCCCTAGTCACCAGGGCGAGGCCAGGGGCTTCCTGCTGGCTCTTTTAGGGAAGCGGTGCTGGAAGGAAGACAGGGTCTGGCTCCTCTCCCTCCCTTTCTCCTTAAGACTGAAGAAGCAGCCGGTACAGGGGACAGACACCCCCTTTCCCCCCCACACTGGATTCTCCAGGCTGGGGCCTCCCAGCCAACTCTAACCCAGACGGGCGCCCTAATCTGCCTCGCTATGGCAGCGTAGGCTTGGACCTTGGCTTTCCCAACTGCCTGATCCTTAAGCCAAGGCTGGTGTGTTGGCTCTGTGGGGACTTCCCTAGGTAGGTCATGCGGCCTGCTGCAGACGTTCGGAGCCAGCCTGTGGCATGTCTGCGGGTACCCAGCACACACAGGCTCATCCTGCGCGTCAGTTCCCGGGAGGTTTCGCTTTGAGGTGTGGCAGGACGAAATGGGGGCATTCTGGTAAGCTCAAGTTTCACATGGGAAAGAACCAAATGTTAAGAGCACAAAAGTATCGAAACTCCAGGTGCCCCTCCTCTCTCTCTTTCCGGGCTGTGGCTAAGGGCCTCCTGAAAGCACCCACGGGGGCATCTGGTTCCCTGCCCCCAGCATGCAGGGGGTGGAGGGAAGACAGCTGTGTGGAGATTCCCTGGACAGCGGCACCCGCAGCTTTGCTTTGCTCACCTGCGGTTCTGGTACCAGGTCTTGACTTGGGTGTCAGTGAGGTTCAGGGCAGCGGCCAGGTCCATTCGGTCCTGGACACTGAGGTACTTCTGCCGCTCAAAGCTACGCTCCAGCTGGTTGAGCTGGTGGTCTGAGAAGGCCGTCCTGGCCTTCCGAGGCTTCTTGGCTCTCACGGGAGGACTCTCCCGGCTACTTGTAATCTCCCGGTCTCCTTCCTCCTTTGTTCCTAGGGAAGAAACCGGGACAAGGCTCCGTGAGTCACCCTGAGCCGGGGAAGAGAGGCATGCCTGCCTAGCACACATTTTCACATCGCCTACCCTTGCCTGGGCTGAAGGGTAAATAATCTACACTATTTTCCTTGGATTTGAGAGGAGATGGCGTGCACCCTCTTTGTTGTTTTCAAAAGGATGCTCTTGATTTGTTATTCTCCAAAGTCTTTCTATTCTGTTTTCATGGCAAGCAGGCATCTTGCCGCTCTGATTTATTTATTTTTTTTTTTCCTCCTGCTAGCCTGCTAGCTGCAAGTTAGAGGCCTTTGTTTCTTTTTCGGATGCATTTGGAAAATGTTGGCCTCGAGCTCTGTGCAGGCCTGCCCTGTACCAGGTCCTCTCCAAGCCTCACAGACAGGGTGTCGCCCAGACACGAGCTGAGCTCAAAGCACACTTGAGTCCATCCAGGTGACAGCGCAGAAATTTCCGGATTCTATTTGTCAACTTTGGTTTTTTGCAGAAATGCTGGGAAATCGATATGTCAGTCCCTGTCTGTTTGTACCGGTTTGTGCAGTACTCCCTGATCCTCCCTGCAGGAAGAACAATAATCTCTCTAATTGACCCACTGGGGAGGTTGGTGAAGGAAAAATCGCCAGGCCAGACTGTACATCTGTTTGGGGCACTGTTATGCTAATGTATAAGCTGTAAAATGAAGAGCCAGTACCCGACCTTCTAGACAGCAATCTCCACCAGAGAATTAGGAATTAATAATAATGATAATGATAATAATAATAATAATAATAATAATAACTTTCAGTAAAGAGGGAAAAATCTCCCTGGGTGTTAAAACTCTTATACAATGTAAAGACCAGAACAGTTACTCATGAAATTGGCCAAGAAGAAAACAGAGTGTGTTAAAGGACAATTTCCATTGTCATATTGATTTTACCAAAAAAAAAAAAAAAAATTCAATTCCACAAAATTTAATTTTCATAAATATTTTGTTATTGTACAGGGCCAGAAGAGGGGAATTTAATCTTTAAAACAGATTTGTTTTCTGTATTAATCACCAGCTAGTAAAAATATTGCTCCTGTAATAACGTTGGAATTTTCCCCCCAACATCAAATCAGACAATTCTTGTGGTGGCATTCGAAAAATATTGGGGGGGGAGCATTTGCATTTAAAAAATAAGCCTCAGGTTGCATTCACAGACCTAGGCGAGCACAACTAGCTATCAGTTTTCTCCACCCCCCCACCCCCCCCAGTTGCAAGGCCTCAGCTAAAAACAAAACAAAACAACAACAGTGACAATCTCAGCTCCGCGCCTGCTTTCAACGAAAAGTGTCTCCCATCCTCCTATTTCTCCCGGCCGCCGCTCTCCTCCCAGCACGCTTCAAATGAAGTAAAACAAAGAACCGAGCTGGCTGGCGGTGAAGGTTGTGGGGGCGGGAACCCAACCGACTAAACTTGGGGTGCGTCGCTGAACCGAACGCCCAGACCCCTGTCCACCGGCGGCCGGGCAGCGCCGGGGCGACTCACCGTGGCATTTGATGTCGCCCTGGGAGTCCTCCCTCTTGTCCAGCTTGGTCTTGCTGTCCTCCTGCTCCAGCTTCGGCCGGAAGCTGTCGTGCGCCGCGGCACCCTCCTGCTTCGGCGTGTGGTGGGGAGATGAGACGCTGGTGCTGTAGGGCGCGCAGGCCGCCAGCGGTTTGCTGTCCCCCAAGATGTCCTTAATCAGAAAGGAGGAGGTGGAAGTCCTGGGGGCCGAGGCGGCCGAGCCCAGCTGCTGAGCCGCGGGCGGCGGCTGCGGCGGCGACGGCTGCAGGCTCTGCGCGGGGGCCGCGGCCGGCGGCGGCGGGTGGCCGTGGTGCAGGTGGTGGTGGTGCGGGCCGTCCGTCCCGAGGTGCGGCTCCGGGGCCTCCAAGGTGACCGAGATGGGGGACGAGGGCGCCGTGCCCACGGTGTCGATCTCCGAGCAGGGGGAGGGGGTGGCCTGGCTCCGAAAATCCGTGCCCCGCGCGTCTCCGAGGGAGCGGAAATCTCCGTTCATCACGCCGGGGCTGCCCGAAGCGGCGCCGGACAGGATCGTGTCTATTCCGAAACTCGACCCGCTGGCCCCTTCCATCGCCGTCATTTCACCATGAGGTCCGCGCCAGTCCGCGGGTCAGCCGCCGCCGGCACCCGGCAAGGCAAAGGTGCCAAGCGGAAAAACAAAACACCGAAAAAAAAATTAAAAATTAAAAAATACAAAACCACAAAACGTTGACACCCACCGCTTAAAAAAAAAAAAAAGAAAAAGAAAAAAGAGAAGCCAGCGGGCGGAGGCGGCGGAGAACGGGAGCTGGCGATTTGTGCACTCGCGACTCAACTTTTCCCTCTCCCGCGAAGACGAGAGAGCGGGGCGACGGGGGCCGCGGCAGGAGCGGGGTGCGCCCCG